AGAATTTAACTTTGTCTTGTGTTACCTTTCCTGCTGCTCTTTTCCTGGGACCTAGCACAATGCGGCCTCAGCCTCCGTCAGAGCTCATCTCATTATTTGACCCTTTGCTCTCCAGCTGGGCGCCGGCTCAGTGAGCGGCTGGGCACACAGATCTTTACCTTCTAGGATGCTGTCTTTATTCACCTAACCCTTTGAGGTAAATCTCTTACCATTTACAGATGAGAAAGGGAGGCACAGAAATTACAGTGAATTACCCTGACCCCATTCCTTCACACACTCAACAGCTATTTATTGTCGGCCTGGCCTGTGCCTGGACTGTCTCAGGCCACAGGGAGAGCCAGGTGAAGGAGCTGGTATGGGCCTCCTCCCATCCCCAGAGAGGGACAGGCAGAACCAAAGTGCTGAGGGACCTAACCGGTGAGAAGGGAAGGGCCAGGATTGAAACACGCTGGTGGCTGTTGTCTACACTGCCCTTGCTCTGGGCATGGCCGGCCAGGCATGGACCTGTCCCTGCAGGGATCGCCCCTCCCTGGGTGTGCAGCCTTCCTTGAATAAGGTGCCTTCCTGGGCCTTAGTGTTCTCTCTGTAAACGTGGCTGCTAGCACCCACCAGTTTGGTTGGGAAGGGTTCAGTGTGCAATGTATGTAAATACTAGGACAGCTCTTGCATAGTAGGCACTGACAACAGTGTCTGTCACCGAAACCAGCACGCGCCAGTGCTGGCCGGCCAGCCGGGGTTGTATGTGGAGGGCTTGGCCAGGAGTCTGGCACGTACTGGGCACTTCATGATATCTGTGTTTTGACCTACTCTAACTCCATGTGTAAAACTTGCTCTAATTTCTATCCTGTGATTTATTTTAGCCATGTGGGGCTTTTTAATCTGGCCCAGCTTGCCAGCAAAATGTCTCTTCGTTAAAACCCCAAGATTTGGCCCTGGTACCTTTTAAAAGTATGTTTTCTCAAGAGAGACATGTGGTTGGAGGGCCCCCATTGCCTGCTTGGCACTGCTTTCCCGCCCTGGTGCCTTGAGCCTGTAGCCTGGCTGCTGAATCATTGGCGAGGCCAGGCCTGCCCTGCCCCACCCATGTCCCCAGGCATGGTTTTCAGACAGTAATCAGTGGCCTCAGATGCTAATGCCGAGTCAGCGAGGGCAGTCCACACAAGAGAAGGGTCAGCTGGACATTTTCTTACAAACGCCCTCATTGAATGGAGGAACCAGGGAGACAGGGCTGCCCTCGGGTGCAGGTGTTCTTGGGCGGAGATCACATTTACCCCGCAGCGCACTGGTGCTCTGCCCAGACTGAGGACAGGACACATTTCCTGCAGAGAGGAAAGGAGAGTCCTGGGCTGAATTAAAGCGGGTGGGGTTGGGGGTTGCAGTGTGGAGGAGGAGGAAGCTGGGAGAGCGCTGTGCTCTGGCTAACGTTCCTGGTACCTGCTATGCCTGCAGGGGGCGGGGGTCCCAGGGCCTGGGAAACCTGCCGCTCACTTCCAGATGGGGCGCCAGCCCTCTGCTGGATCTTAGGTTCCTGTAAGTGTGGCTGGTTCCCATTTGCTGAGTGTTTGAACCCTCCAGATGGCCTGTTGTGTGAGGAAGCCCACTACAGGGCCCAGCCCTGAGCAAGGTGGTCCATGTCTGCCTTCAGGGAGCTGCAGTGCCACGCGATGCTTCTCCGTGTGGCACCATCTTCAGGGCAGCTCCAGGTCCCTCCTAGAGGTGGCATCCTCGGGGGACGTTGATGCTGGCGGTCTGTGCCCATCCTCAGTCCCCAGGCGCCCAGGCAGTGATTCCCAGGTGACTTGGGCTGCATGGGGCAGGCTTTCGGGAGTGGGGCCCTGAGCCAAAGAAGGATGAGAGCGTTGCTCAGGGGAGGGACGTGGAGACCAGGCTGCAGAGCCATTGTGAGCAGAGGATTCTGGTGCAGCCCATACATGATGGATGTGTATTCATTGTCTGTCCCCCTTGAGATCCCAGGCAGGTGCTTGTCCGCTATGCTCTCTGGCTAATGTTCCAGTACTTGCTGTGCACTTAGTTTGAGGCTTGGCACCCATGGCACTCGTCATCCTCTGGTGACCGCACCAGGGCTGCCCTCATCAGGCGGGACCTGGGCACCTGGTCTCCAGCCCAATGTGTTTTTCCGGCTCCAGTTGCTTCTGAAAAGTACTTGATGAGCAAGCAGGGCTGATGGAGGAGGCTGCTGGTCTGGCCGGGGAGACAGTGAGGAGAGAACGGCAGTGCTTGGAGTGGAGCACAGGCCAGCTACGTGCGGAGCCCGGGGAGGTGAGGGAGCAGGATTCGGGCTGTGTGCAGGTGGGTGCCTGGGCTGTGCTGTGGCTGTGTTCTCTGTGGCTCAGCGCAGTCCCTGGACGGCCTGCTGTTGCCTGTGTGCGTGCGAATCCTTCCTGACACTGTTGGCCAGTTTGTTCAGCGAAGGGACTAAAGAGTCCAGGTCCTTTGGAACTTCCCTCAGGTGACATGCCAGGCCGGCTGTCTAGATCTGGTCCGGAGCGGACCAGGGCCCATGGCAGCCCCTCAGCTAGTGATGTGCATGAGACGGCAGCGTGTCTCCTCTCTGTCCCACAGCTGGACTAGATGCCAGATGTTTGCTCTCAAGTGTGGGGCCTCCTGTGGGGCCTTAGCTCACTCACTTACTAGTTGTGACCATCTAACAAGAGCCTTTGGTGTGCTGAGGGCTGGTTTGGTGAGACTTTATGCCTGTCTACTCGTCTATGTTTGGGAAGCCCTCCCGCTGGCACTTCCCCCTGAGGTGGCAAGGACATAGGTGTTGCGGGCTGCAGAGTTGCCCAGGGCAGGGCTGCATCTGGGGTGTTGTGATTCTTTCTCCCCTGGGACCCACCTGAAGGGGACCAAAGCTCTCACATAACTGCTGTCCAGTTAGTGAGGTGCTGAAGGGTGTCCTGGGAACACAGCGTCCGCTCACCTGCTGGGAGGGCTCCCCAGACCCCTCCAAGCTGAGGAGTTAGGCCTCCAGTCTTAGCATCAAGGTCTCCATTTTTCCTGCGAATGGGAATTCAGTGCTCCTGTGGGAGGGGCGTGTGGGGGTTGGTGCTTAGAATGTAGTGGCTGACTCCTGGCAGGGAGGGAGGGGCTGCTACTCTATCACTGATCCGAGGCAGATGCTCCGAGGCCTGGCACTCTGTTTTGTCTGTAGTACCACTCCTTCCCACACCCACCCTTTGCATCTCCCATGAGGCTTACTCACTGCAGCTGAGTCATGGGGTTGGGATGTGCTGTGATGAGTGAGGCTGCTGACTGCCTGAGGTGCAGTGGGGCTTTAAGAGAGTGGGGTCCACAGACCCCCCAATGGGGGCCACCACGCATGCCTGGCACACACCTGGCTGCCCAGCTGTGTGCCTTGATTCTGTTAGTAACTCAGGGCCATGTAGGAGAGAGGCAGGTGTCACTGGTATACACACCGTGTACCCTGGGAGAACTTCTGGTCCCCAGTTTTGAGGAAGTTAGTGACCGAGGCTCGTGTGCCATTTAGGTCCCCTACAAAGTAAAGAAAGGTGGTCATAAAGCGAGGCTGCATCTGGTGCCTGGGCTTCCTGTTACCTATTGGAATGTGGTGATCCCGGAATCTGGTGAGGGGCACACACCCAGCAGCGGGCCTCGTGAAGGCAGCAGGCGCTGGTCAGCGAGTGGCCGGGGTCATAGACCTACACCACACCCCTCCTCCCAGGCGGCCTTGGCCAACGGCAGGGAGGCCTGTGCCCCCAGGCTGCACAGCTCTGAAGCTCTGGACCCATGGTGACCGGGGCTCCCGCCACCCATTATGTCCGTAGATGTGTCGGGGAAGCTGCGGATCTGTGACACCATGCAGAAGGAGCACCTCCTGAAGTACCAGTACCAGCCTTTCTCTGGGAAGATCAAGGACATTGCTTGGACGGAAGACAGTAAGAGGATCGCCGTGGTCGGGGAAGGAAGTGAGTCTGGCCTTGGCTCTCCCCTCCATGTCCCCTGATCTTCTTTCTGGGTGTCCCTGTGGGAGGGGTGCAGTGACTTCAGTGTGCCAGATGGGATGAGTGTGTGCCCAGTCCCCCTAGGTGCCAGGCTCTGAGCCTCCTCACAGAGGTGTGAGCAGCACGGGCCACTGGCTCCTTCGGGGTGGGCTTCAGTGATAGGTAACAGTGGGTGAGCTCCTCGGGGTTTGTCTCAGGGCCCAGGCACCTTCTGTCTGCCTGTCTCTGGAGTCCTAGAACTCCTGCCACCATCATGCTCACCTTCCAGCACAGGAAGCGGCAAAGGGAGGCAATGAAAGAGATACAGCTCTCACAGAGCAGGATTGGGTCCCTCCCAGCAACTGCCAGGGAGGCTGACATTTCCCAGCTGGGCACATCACCCCAGGTCCCCTCACTAAGGAAGATGGGGTGAGTGACACTGAGTAGGTGGCCCTCAGTGGCTGCTGCACTCCCAGGTCTAGTGACCAGAGAGGAACCCTGGTTTTCTTATTCCAAGTGCAGTCAGGGTTTCCTCTGGGGTGCCATGGCTGCCCTCCAGGACTTGAACTTGGCAGGCATATGCCTGTCTGCCTTATTGGGAGCCTCTTTGTAATGTGTATGTGGTAGGTATCAATTCTTCCATAAAGTTTCAGGTCATTCTTTCTTTCTTTATTTATAATCTAATAAATCCTATCTAATAATAGGCAAACATGGTAATTAACTGTATACTTCGCTACCTTCCCATTGGCTAATCAGGGCGACAAAGATGGCGGTTAATTTGCATATGTAGGCGCAATGCTGGGAGGCGAAGGGGAAGGACAGAAGAAGCCGCCGGCTGCTGCTGGTGATTGGAAACCGAGGAGGCAGCCAAGAGCCAGGGCCGCCTTTGCCCTGCCCCGTGATCGGCGAACCGGGTGCCTTTGCCTGCCCCCAGCTAGTGATCGCAGGAAGCAGGGGCAAAGCCGGCAATGGGAGCTGGGGATCCCCTGCCCAGCCCTAACACCTAGGTCAGAGGCATTAGGCCTGGGCAGGTGCAGAGCCAGCAATCGCAGCGAGCAGGGGTGAAGTCAGCGATCGTGAGCAACTGGGGGGTCCCCTGCCCAGGCCTAACACCTTGGCCAGAGGCATTTTAGGCCAGGGCAGGGGCGGGACCAGCCATCGCTGGGAGCAGGGGTGGAGTCAGCGATTGAGCGGAGCTGGGGGTCCCCTGCCCAGGCCTAACTCCTTGGCCAGAGGTGTTAGGTCTGGGCAGGGGCGATGCCAGGGATCACGCCAGGGATCACGAGCAGCAGGGCGGGAGCCGACCAAGGTGGGAGCTGGGGGTCCCCTGCCCAGGCCTAATGCCCCGATAGAGGTGTTAGGTCTGGGCAGGGGTGGTTCCAGCAATTGGGGGTAGCAGGGGCGGAGCCGGCGATGGTGGGAGCTGGGGGTACCCTGCCCACGTGTAAGGCCTTGGCCAGAGGCATTAGGCCTGTGCAGGGGGCAGAGCTAGCGATTGTGGGGAGCAGGGAGGGAGCTGGCAATGGCAGGTTATTCGTTTCTACTATTTTCTGTAATAGAACTGAATATTCTTAAGTATGTACACATCACACCCTCCGTATAAGTGAAAGGTGTTTTCTTTTGAAATCGCAAATCACAGTCCTGCCCACCGCAGGGTCTGGGTTCAATTCTGACTAAGGGCATGTACCTAAGTTGCAGGCTTCTCCCTGGCCTGGAGAGAAGCCCACTGAAGTCAGGACTCCCAGGTCAGGGTTCATGCAGGAGGCAACCAATCAAAGTGTTCCTCTCACTTTGATGTTACTCTCTGTCTTTCACTTTCTCTTCCACGTTCTCTAAAAATCAATGGAAACATATCCTCAGGTGAGGATAAAAAATATAATAAAGAAATGTCATATCCTATGAAAGACACATCTTGAAAATGCCTAAAGAAAGTTTTCATTTTTTCATGGTGAAGGGACTGGAGTCCATGTTGATGAAAACACCTTGGTGGCTGTGGTGACTGGCAGTAGTTGCAGCAGTGGGGTGATGGGGCTGATGCCTTCCCCTGACCAGTCCGGTCGCCTCCCAAAAAGGGAGGCCAGACTGTGGCTTAGGCCCGTTCCCCAAGGGGAGCAGGGAGCAGGGAGTAGGACATCCCCTGAGGGCTCCCAGTATGTGATAGGGGGCAAGTTGGGCTGAGGGACCCCCCCTCCAGTGCACAAATTTTTGTGCACCTGGCCTCTAGTGTATGTATATGTGTGTGTGTGTGTATATATATATATACACACTTTTTTATTGATTTGAGTGAGAGAGGCAGGGAGAAGAGAGAGGTAGAAATATCAATGAGAGAGAATCATCGATCAGCTGCTCCTGCACACCTGTATGCAACATGCGCATGTGCCCTGACCAGCAATTGAACTGGCAGCCTCTTGGTGCGTGGGTCGATGCTCAAGCACTGAACCACACCAGCTGGGCTTTCAAACCATTCTTGTTGGTCTTAACAATTTCTTTTTCATTAGATTGCAAATAGTAACCAAAACAATACGTTTTCACAGAATGCCAGCCAAAAGCAAGGCATCATCTCCCCTCGGAGGGGATGGCAGGTGTATTTCGTAGTCCTGCCCAGTAAGGAAATTAACCATAAAACTGGTCCCCTGGCGGATGCTTTCTCAGGGAGGCTTGCTGGCCCTGGGCCACACAAGCACGGACCTCTAGCCCCTTCCGCAGACATGTGGTCTCCATGCTTTCGACAAATACTGTGTAGAGCCCAAATCGCAGTGTTGTCATTGTGTGATTTGGATGGGAGTGTGGATGGGAGTGTGAAGCGTGGTCATGAGCCGGGGCTGAATTGGACATTCAGCTTCCTGTGTCTCATCCAGCTTCGCAGGACTGATTATTTTTCCTGTGGCTCCTCTCGTTGGATAAATGTTTGGAGCCGTCTTCCTGTGGGACAGTGGCTCTTCTGTGGGCGAGATCACGGGACACAACAAAGTCATCAACAGCATGGACATCAAGCAGACCAGGCCATACTGGCTGGTGACAGGCAGTGAAGTTAACTGTGCCGCCTTCTTTGAGGGGCCACCATTCAAATTCAAGTTTACCATTGGCGTAAGTGGACTTCTCTCTGGAGGGTGGCTTTGGGTGAACTTTGTGGTTTGTAGTTGAAGCCAGTGGAGTTTAAACCTGTTAGATGCTGATGGTAGAGGTCACGGCGCACACCATTGGTGTGTAGACAGAAAGCAGGGTTTGTGAGGGGACGCCACAAGGTCCCCAGTCCTCCTAATCCTGCCCTAGGACAGCGTGGATGTTCCAGTTCCAGCAGGAGGGGCCCTGCATAGGGCCGGGCTTCGTTCTGGGATGCAGTGTGCATTCTGGGGTGGAAGTCCCGAGCACCTACGAGCCATGTGAGTAGACCAGCATCCTGGCCTGCAGCTGTGTTAGCAAGGGAGCCCAGGGCTGGCTGGCGTCAGCCTGCTCTCTGGTTGGGCCATCTTGAGACCAGCTGAGCCACCAGGGTGACAAGAGGTGGGGCTCCAGAGACATTCAGATTTGTCTCCAGCGCCTTCCCGGAAAGGTTAGGGGCAGGGACACAGCTGTAAAGTAGCATATGAGAGGAATTAGATGCTATAAATGCCATGGTGAAATGCCCCAGGTTGTGGGGTCTCAGTCCCAGCTTTCCACGTGCTCCTGGCTGGCACAAAGGTTTGACCTTGGCTGACAGCAGATGGCTGGCTAGACAGCAAGTGGCCTAAGGAAGATTAGAACAAGCCTTTGTCCCTTTGGTGCCAGGAGAGGCAGGTGGAGGGCGGTCTCCTTTGTTCTCGGCACAGCTGAGGCAGATGAAGGGTGGGGGACTGCCTCTCCAGGTGCCCTACAGCAGAGACCTGGCAGAGTGGGAAGCCAGGTGTGGGAGGGGCAGCAGCCAAAGGAGGGCTAGGTGGCATTCCCAGGTCAGGGAGGAGCCGTGTCTCGGAGCCTCGAAGGGAGGAGGTGATGGTGGGCATATGTGTCTGAGCCTGTTTCTCTCCAGGCACTCGGGACCAGAACACAAGGCAGGTGGGCCCAGGGAGGGCTCCCAGAGGGGACACCTGAGCTGTGGCTAGTCCACCTGTGCACAGCCTGGAATCAGGCTGTGGAGCTGGGTCTGTCCTGTCAATGACATGGACTTGGGTGCCTGACTTAATCATCACCTAATTGCTTCACGCCTCCATTTTCTCAGTGGTGAGAGGGAGGAGATGACAGAGGGTGGGGAGGCAATGACAGGAGGATTTTGGGAGCTTCAGTAAGTGCTGCTTTGACTAAAGGTCAGCAGGAGGGGACCAGCCATCCAGGCCCTTCCACATCGAGACCGCAGAGGCTGAGCCCACAGCTCTTGCTGTGACCCCACTGGGCTGATGCCCCAGTCCAGTAGGTGGTGGCCAGGTTGGGCAGCCATGAGGTGCTCAAGTTTGGAACCCTCCCCAGTTGCTGCCCAGACCGTTCCTTCTTTGTCCCGGCCTCTCCCATGGAAAGGGCTATTTTTAGCCCCCCTCGTTGGTTAAAGGACTATTGGGGCTCCCTCCCTCTTTAGGTTAATGGGTTATTTCAGGAGCAGACAGCAGTCTCCTGCTCTTCTGGACACTTGGCTCCAATTGCAGGAAAGGCAGAGAGGAGTTTTTAAAGCCACCCAGACCCCACCGGGACTTGGAGTGGGAGTGGCATTTGTCTGTGGGGCCCCTCCCTGGAGCCTGCATGGTTCCCGGGCCTGCAGGGCCACGCCAGCACCTGCTGTGGGCCGTGTCCCACAGCGTCGGGGGCAGCTGAGTGCTGTGACTGAGGAGGCCGGGACCGGTGCTGGGGGTGGCCTTTCAGAGGAGAGGTGGTGGACGTGTGGAGTCAGGAGGGGAGGGCAAGGTCCTTTCAGGAGGGCGTCCTGACTTCAGTGAGCCAGGTTGTATGGGGGGCGCTTTGTTCTCTCAGGGAACCAGTGAAACTGCAGTTTATGACAACCCATCGGTGGCTCAGTGCGTCTAGTCTACAGCCTGTTCTTCCCCAAACCCCGAGGCATGCCCGCTGTGGCGAGCTCCCAGTTCTTAGGGAGGGAGCCCTGCCCCCTCTTTTTTCTTTTTAAATGTTTTTATTGATTGATATTAGAGAGGCAGCAAAGGGGAGCGAGAAACACTGATTTGTTGTTCCACTTATTTATGTATACCTTGGTTGATTTTTTTACATGCCCTGATCAAGAATCAAACCCACAACCTTAGTTAGTATATTGAGATGACACTTTAACCAACTGAGCTACCTGGCCAGGGCTATTTTTTTTTTTTTTTAACAACAGCCATACTAATGGGTGTGGAGTAGTAGTATTTCATTGTGTGTGTTTTTTTCCCTCATCTATTATCATTTTATTTCAATAGAAAGAAAATGACTGAGGAAGTATAATTAATTTGACATAGATAATTCTGGGCTGAGCATTTCAATATCAGAAGCATTTTAAGGCTATTATTAAAACTCGTGGTTTTAACATCAGTGCTTTTAAAAACTCCCCAGGTGAGCTTGGGTGGCTTGGCTCAGTGGTTGAGTGTTGACCTATGAACTAGGAGGTCATGGTCCAATTCCTGGTCAGGGTATATGCCCAGGTTGTGGGCAGCTGATCAATGATTCTCTCTCATCATTGATGTTTCCATCTCTCTCTCCCTCTCCCTTCCTCTCCGAAATACATAAAAATAGACTTAAAAAAATAAAAACTCCCCAGGTGATGCAAATTCATGGTCGAAGTTAGTACCAATGTTTAAAACTTGAAGTCCAGGGAGGAATTTTTTTTTGCAAAGCCCAGGCAGGGCTGGGTGTGCCTTGTGGAGGCTGCACCTCCCTCCATTTTATGGAAGCTTGGTCCACTCCATGCTCCAGCCCTCTCTGGACAATAGTCTTTTATCTCTAGAGTCAAGACAGTGACTGTCCCTGAGCCATGGGCCACCCCTCTAGTGGTGAAAGAGAAGATCCATCTGCTCCACCAGAAATCAGAGTTTGTGGAGAAGAGCATGAAGCATTTCTCAGGTAGGTGGGCTTGGGGGAAGATAGAAGGTGCTACTCCCTTCCTCCCAGAGATCCATGTAGCCCAGAGCCCCCAGGCATCCCTTCTCCATCTCTCATAGTCTTCTGACTCTGCCTTCAGCCTCCAACAGAGGCAAGAGAAAGGTCATAACTGGCCCTCACAGGTTCTGTGGGAAACTCCTTTAGCTGGATCAACCCATCAGACCAGAGAGGCCCTGGTGCCTGGGAGGAATGGGGTTATAGCCAAGCAGAGGAGTCAGGTTCTGAGCATATGGGTTCTTGTCTTTCCTTGTTGTGGGGATCCAGGTAGACTTAGCCCTCTGAATGGGAATGCTCAGGATTTCCCCCCTCATCTCTTTTTTCTCTGTAGTTCCAGAACTGATTGATGCTCAGGCACATGCCGGTGAGTGCCAGATCAAGGCAAGTGTCTTGGCCTGATGGATTCCTGTCCATGTTTTTTGGAGGTGAGGTGAACCTGAGGGGATGTTGCCCATTGACTCCCCACTAGTTATTCTAATTCTCTCTGCAGTTAATGTGATTCTGGATGCAGAAACTGCCCACCTCAACCTCATCATCTCTGATGACCTGAAGAGTGCTAGACTTGGAAACAAGTGGATCCCTATGCCTGACAGTCCAGAAAGATTTGATAGCTGCATTTTTGCCCTGGGCTCTCTGAGCTTCTGCTGATGGCCAATTCCTTCTTACAGGAGGCCACATTGCATGTTTCTTTACATGTCCTCGGATGTATTCTGCCGGAGAGGCATGGAGAACTTCCTTTCCAACTTCTCCTAGTCAGGAAGAGTCAGATATTTCTTGCCTCATTCTTGTGAATTATTGCTGCTTCCAGAAGAAATATCTATTCCTGGAAGAAAAAACACTTTTATCCTCAAATGGCACTTGAGCTGTTTTCAGCACCAGAGGTTGACAAATCTGAGAACATATTTAGTAATTGCGACGGTAACACAGAAAATGCCTGGAAGGTAACATTGTGAAACGAAGACGCTATTGCTTCCTTGTGAAATTGTAAAACTTTGCCAATAGTGTAAGATAAAGGGATTTCATAGCATCAAATTAAGTATCATGCGAAAGTTTTTTTGCAGCTTCATCCATGGCAGCAAGAAATAATTTAATCTTGTCGGCCAAGCTAGAAGGCCATTGTTGTAGCATGTCCTCAACCAAGGCAGCAGCAAGCAGATGCACACGAGATCGAAGTGTATCAGCAATCGCCAGAAAGCAGTTGAAAGTCATCAAGCATGAGCAATCGTTAACAACTCCGAGAACTGAAGATTGTGAGAAATGACAAGTCATGTTTTCAACTTTTACCATAAGGTATTCATGGTCTGAAAATGAGGCCTTGATCACTGCATCCTGTAGGACTAAGTGCTTTTCTAAAGCATCTAGAAAGGTTTTATCTTGAGGTAGATTTGGTATAGATCTTTTAACTTTTATCATCAATTAATCTGATGCTTTTCATGTTGACGCCACTGCAGACCAAATAAGAGTTGTTTCTGGTCAGAATTCACCATTTTTTTTAAAAAAAAATCTGAACAATAAAGATTTAATTTAAAAAATTTTTTAAAAAAGAAAAATGACTTTGTGGGTTTGTGCATACATTTAATAAGTTTTTTTTAATATATTTTATTGATTTTTTACAGAGAGGAAGGGAGAGGGATAGAGAGTTAGAAACATCGATGAGTTAGAAACATCGATCAGCTGCCTCTTGCACACCCCCCACTGGGGATGTGCCCGGAACCAAGGTACATGCCCTTGACTGGAATCGAACCCAGGACCCTTCAGTCCACAGGCCGACGCTCTATCCACTGAGCCAAACCGGTCAGGGCACATTTAATACGTTTTAACGACATTGAAGGCATATTATTTTTTTTCACATTTAAAAAGTCATTTATTTATCAAGTTAAATACAAATAAAAGTATCTCGAAAAGTCTAACTATTGGATCCCTTTGAAATATTTATTCTGGGAAGAAGTATCTTCCAGACTTAAGGGAAAGGATAAAAATACAACCCATATTAAAAGTTTTTAAACAATAAAGTACATGGTAAATTCAGAAATAAAAACAAAAACGTACAAACTATTAAAGTACGAAACCAAAATGTTCATGTCTTTTAAATGCCTGTGTGTACTCACATGAGGGCCAAATTGTCTATGTCCAAGTTAGTAAAAAGTCTATCGACACCATTTTAACCTATCATAGCTTGTGTCACAGAGAAATAACTTTAGAATGTGTTGAGTGTGTAAATTGTTCACATTTAGCAAATATATTCTATGTATGGACATATTCACTTATACTTAATGAAAAAATAACATAATTTAAACATCTTGATTTAAGAACTGATGGATGGGTTCAGCACTCTCAGCCTGTGCCTTTCAGATCAGGCCCCCATCTTCTCAGAGAAAAGTGCAGATGTTGACTATGGGCACTGTTCCCAGCATGCACTCATTTTCCCCATAAATTCTTAAGTCAAGGTGTACTCATTTCCCCATTTGGAGACTGGGCGCGGTCCACTGGACAACCAGCAGCACTCACAGATTTCCAAAAGCCCCCGGGGAATAATCCCCTCAGCTTACTGGCCCAGATACAGAGAGCCCCTTACAATTTTTCTCCAAACTGTAAGCAAAAGCTTAACAGACCTACCACATTCAGTTATCCTAAAGTTACAGTAAACTAATAGCTAAATAAACTGATGTCAAACAGCAGTGTCAAATCAAGGGCCACTTCCAATCCCAGCTCTGGTATCCTCTCTCCTGGTAGCCTGGCCTCAGTGCCTCAGAAGGATGTACGGCTGGTGTTAGGTCTCAAAAGGTTGGCCCGGAGCAGCTTACTCTCAAGAGGAAGACACTGCTTACAGTATGGACTCCCTTTTGATGTTAGAGAATTGAACATCATACCATTCTGGTGCAGAGCCAGATACACAACTACGCTGGCACTCAGCTCTCCGGTGTGGAAACTGCCTGTCACTCAACTCCACGTGGAGGCTGACAGAGAGGGAGCCTCTCGGGAGGGCACCCCGGGTCTTCGGCTGGGGGTTGAAGGTCGGCGGCAAAGTGGTTCCCAACGAGGCCCCGTTTTCCTGTCCGTCCCCAGGCTGCGCTGCGCACCTGGCCGAGGTCCCCTCAAACCTGCGCGCTCCCGCCCTCAGGAGGTGTGAGGCGGGGAGAGGGGGAAGCTTCCCGCCTCCAGAGCACATCAGCGGCAACTACCAATCAGTGCTGCGGTCACGGGGCCCTGCCCGCCAATGGGCGGTCAGAAACGCGGAAAGGGCGGGGCGCAGGGTGGAGCCTTCTTGCCAGTCAAGGGCAGAATCCTGTGAAAAGAGCACGCCCCGGGCTCCCAACCCCCCGTGGTGATTGGCTGCCCCGGGTCCTGCGAGTGTCCGTCAAGAAGCTTTCAGCCGGGGCGCGGCTGGGCGGTATCCAGGGCTCGGATTCCTGCGGTTTCGCGGCGGGACCTCGGGAGCCAGGAGCCCCCAGTTCGGGCAGGTGTTGGGGTGACGAGTCCTTCCTGCAGCCTGACCAAGTCTCTTTGCTTCCCGACGGTATTTAGGTCCCGGACTGTCTTCAAGGCACGTGCGTTCGCTTCCTTAGCGAGAGGACCAGGCGGTAGGCGGGGAGTTGCCTTCTGCGAAACAGAGATTCCGACTAGACCAGAGGTTCTCAACCGGTGGATTGCGACGCCTTTGGTTGTCGAACGACCCTTTCACAGGGGTAGCTTAAGACCATTGGAAAACACATGTATAATTACATATTGTTTTTGTGATGAATCACTATGCTTTAATTATGTTCAGTTTGTAACAATGAAAATACATCCTGCATATCAGACATTTACATGACGATTCATAACAAACAATGAAAGTACATCCTGCATATCAGACATTTACATAACGATTCATAACAGTAGCAAAATTACAGTGATGAAGTAGCAACTAAAATAATTTTATGGTTGGGGGTCAGCACAACATGAGGAACTGTATTAAAGGGTCGCGGCATTAGGAAGGTTGAGAACCACTGCCTTAAAGGGAGCTGTCAGCCAATTCCTTTGCAAAAACGTTCCTCTGCGTCCCTCTTGTGGCCATTCAAAGAATAACACCTTGTGCTTCTCTCCGTGCTGCTGAAAAGTTAGGTAATGTCCTGTGAATTTGATGAAAAATTCTACCCAAAAAACCACAAACAAACAAAACCCACAGAAAACCCTACAAAATCATCGAGGCTTTCCAGGGTGCAATTATCCCTTCCCTGGATGGACTGAAGTCACGGGTCTGGCTTTTTCACCCTTTCCTGTCCCAGCCTTGCAAAGGGAGGCCTTGGCTGCTGCACTGACATGGGGAAGCTGTGCATTCACTAATTCAGTCCGTAACCTAGAGACTGCCATGATTGGAGCAGTCAGTCCTGGGGCGGCCGCCGTTAACAAGGCAGCCAGTACCGGACAGGTCTCCTTTCCTGAGGCAACCAGTAACCCGGCAGCCATTCTGTACAGCGAGGCGCAGGGGTATCGCAAGAACGTGTTATTACCACTAGACTCAGCGGCTTCTGTAGGGCATTACTGAGGCAGCTAGTACTCTGGAGGCTGCAATGATCGATGCAATCAGTAGCCTAGAGGTGGGTATTAGTGAGGCAGTCCTTCCCCTGTAGGCTGCCATTATTGATGCAATCAGTACCAGGGAGGCTGTCATTGTTGATGGCACCTCCAGATGCAGGGTATCATGGGAACATTTTAGTAGCGTGAAAAAAAATTCAATTTAAAATTTTGTATTGAAATCCAGTGTGTTTTTTAAAAAATATATTTTTATTGATTTCAGCGATGAAGGGAAAGGGATAGAGATGGAAACATCAATGATGAGAGAGAATCATGGATCAGCTGCCTCCTGTATCACCCCCTCCCCACTGGGGATCCAGCCCACAACCCAGGCATGTGCCCTGACTGGGAATCAAACCAGGGACCCTTCAATACACAGGCTGACACTCTCCCCACTGAGGCACACTGGGCAGGGCCACAGTGTTTTGTTTTGTTTTTTTTAGAAAGATACATTTCTACTATTTCAGAAAGGAAGAGAGAAAGATCAATGATGAGTGATCATCATAGATTGGCTGCCTTCTGCCAGAAGAAAGAGTGACATTTGTTCTCATCTGCTAAGCAGAAGGAATAGGCCCTGGCCAGTGATGTTCACTGGTTAGACCTTCGGATGCCCAGGGAAGGGTCGCTGGTGGGATTCCTGGTCCAGAACACATACCTGGGTTGCAGGCTTCATTGCCTGCCCCGGTCTGGGCTCTTGTAATGCCAGAAGAAAGAGTGATGTTTGTTGTCATCCGCTAACCAGAAGGAATAGGCCCTGGCCAGTTTTGTTTGCTGGTTCGAACCTCGATGCGCAGGGAAGGGTCGCTGGTGGGATTGCTGGTCCAGAGCATATACCTGGGATGCAGGTTTTATGGCCTGCCCCAGTCTGGGCTCCTGTGGGAGCCAAAGATGTATGTGTCCCTTGCATACTCATGTTTGCTGTTTTGTTTCTTCTCTATCCCCTCGATCCCTCCCTCCTCCCTCCCTCCGTCTGTCTGTAAAAAACATATCCTCTGGTAAGAATTAACCAAAACATAAACAAGAATAAAGTACCAAGAAGGAAAAGATTTGGAGGGTGTGAAAAAGCAGCATACCCCTAAAGAAAGGCACCATGATGAGCAGAGCATTCAGCTCCGCTGATGTTTTTCCACAGAATGTGTCTATAAGATAAAAATAAAATGTCTGAGTGTCTCTCAGCTGGCAAGATCCTGACACAACACGACAAGGCCATTCTAGTGCTGTCCTTGCAGGGTCTCCCAAGCCACCTCTTTGGGGCGAGGCTCGGGGGGGGGGACGGGAGGGGGCGAGGCCAGGAGGAGCAGAGGAAAGTGAGGCGTGAAGGAGGCGGGGAATGGACAGAGGAGGGTCCTGCACGTGCTCCCCTCTACTGCGTTGTGTCGCTGCTCCCAGAGTCCCCCCCACTGAGAAGATGGGAGCAGACTCACCCGGTGTCAGTGACAGAGGGACATACAGGCTGAGGGACACATAGACCGAGGGACACAGAGACCAAGGGACAGAGAGACCAAGGAACAGACACATAATCGAGGCCACAGTGGCCTGGAGAGGTGACATGCGGGAACCTGTGGCCACTGTGCTGGTTCCTTTTATCCTCCCAGATGTACCCTTCTCAGAGGTTTTTGACTCCAGAACCCTGGATTCCATTTCCACAGACAGCACCTACTTCATGGTGACTCTGCCCAAGACCCAAGACCTCCTCGGACATCCATTCACACATCAGTTGTTTGGAAAGTGATCTCAAACTTATTCTATATAGTTATTGTATGTATGAAAAATAAATCAGAGGAGCAGTCATCTGTTTGATGTATTATACATTTGTATTATACATACATTTTATTTTAGAAAATGACATTTCTTCTACAAAGTTGCCTTCATAACTGTAATTAAGTGAGAATGTTAAAAACTTTGTAAGGGTGAATGTTTTACTTGACAAATGTTTAGAAACTTGATGAGTATTACTGTGTATCGCTGCCCAAGGAACTGTTGGGGGTCATGTATTGTCACCAAAGCAGAATGTTTGCTAAATGACTGGTCCCCTTGTTGAGACAGCCTTCATGGTTTTCCCTTCATTCTGTTATGAACCTATAGGCAGAAGATAGGAATAGGCTTGTACTGATGCCACAGCTCCCACCTGCTGTGATGATGGAAACAGGCCTGATGCTCCAAGCAGCATGAGAACACCAGCAAGGTAAAGGCTCTCATCCCCCCGGCATGTAATCTACGCAGCCAGGGCCACATTGTCTTCGTAGAAACGGGTCATCCAAATACCAACACACAGCCCAGCTAGCAAGGCTCAATGACTGATTGTTGACCTACGAACCAAGAAGTCCCCTTGATTCCTGGTAAGAGCACCCATATCCCCTGATTGTTTCTCTATTGCCTGTCCCTCTGTGTCTCAGATCAAGAACAACAGATTTAAAATAAAACTGGAAACTGTCAAATCTGCTCCTATCCTCCCCCCAAAAAGTATCAGATTTTACTGGAAACACCCACTTGTCTTCCTTAGTCATCGTGAGAATTCCAGTTCATGAAAGTTCACAGTATCTCAGTTTAAAACCTGTGTGCCGGGAACCGGTCCATCCTTGCTGTTTCAAGGGACCTGGCATATATGGCATACTGTTCTTAATATATTTGCTCACCTTCTTGGCGCTGTGTTTTAACCAAGGTCACCTCTCTGAGAAAGGTTGTTTCCCCAGGTGGGGATTTTCCCCTGAAGTTAGGGAGGGAATAAAACCTCTTAACTAAGTGCCAGGCGGGTAATTAATCACTAACTACGAACAATCATGCTTTTCTTTACTCCCTGGAATGGAGATAAGAAACGCCCTAACCTTTGGAATAGAGATTGATAGGATTAGAATCAACTGGAATAAATACAGATGCAACAAGACAACAGGACACAGAACTTAGGACACAGAACTTAGAAGACAGAACATAGAAGACAGAACCTAGAAGATAGAACCTACACAGAACCGAGAGCCAGAAGAACTTCGCTGGAGAGAACATG